TAGGTTGGCCAAGGCCTCACCCCTAACCCAACCTGAAGTTAAATCGGCTCAAGAGGGATTGCTCCCTAATGGCATCTGACCCCTAAATCACCCCCCACCCTCCAACCAAATCCACTAATTTATATTCTCATTCTAAATATGAGTACAGACAACAATTAAGTCATGTTACAGCCATAAACAATCACGAGAAAACAATGCATGTATGTCATTCATCTGCAAAACTACCTCTGGGACAAGATCATCAAAGATTCCAAATATGGATCATGGGTAGTGTTTTGCTTCACAGGTCAGATTGACTGGTTAAGATCAGACAATATATAAAACCTAACTTAACCTAGAAGGCACAGCAATACTAATTTTTAGCCATCATCAACAGAAAATAAGTAGACAAGAACCTCATAATTATCAGCACCATAGAGCAACAAAAAGAACTATTCCAGGTAAAACAAAAGAATAATTTATGGAAACTATACCAGAAGCATCTTCAGAAGTGCATGAGTCCCTATGTGAGCAAGAGCACTTTTAATTCTGTTGTTCCCTTCAAGTTCATCAACGTAGTGGGAAACGCTTTCCCCATGCTCATAGGTCTCCACCAAGACAGCAGGATGCACAAGTGGATATAGAGGTTTTGGGAATGATACATCCCTCCATCTGCGAAAATTATAAATAAATCGGCTTAAATGCGCAGCTTCCCTTGCAAGATCAACTTGAGACATCATAAAAACAGCAAACTGCTGTACACTTTCATCCAACCTCAGCCATTTCAAGGTAGGTATGAACTTTGAAATTTTGGCAACCAAGCTAATAATGGCAAAATCTCTCCTAATTGCTTCACCAACTCCAGGATGTCTAACTTTTACAGCAACTAAGATAGGCTTGACCTGCTGACCTGGGTATCGAAATCTCAAGGAAGCTCGATGTACTTGGGCAATACTTCCAGATGCTACAGGTGCCTCTTCAAATTCTTCAAAAATCTCAGTAAGCTTGCGACCAAATGCTTTTTCAATAGTTCTTTTTGTGTAGGCAAAGCTATGTGCAGGTGCCTTGGTTTGAAGCTTTGATAGCTCAGTGCATAGATCTCTAGGAAAGAGATCGGGTCGTGTAGCTGCCCATTGACCCCATTTAATGAAAGCAGGACCAGCTTTTTCTAGGGTAAGATGGACAAGATGAAGCCATGTTTTCCTAAACTGCACACCAAAACAATCTGCAAATGGTGCCATTGCCATGATGGGTGAGAACAAAACTGCCAAATAGATTGATCTAAGGAGCAAAATGAAACCCTCCAAGAGTGAGAAAATGAATGAGGTCAAGTAAACATGCCCATCTTGTGCATGCATGTATAGAGTCTTCCCTTTTGGAAAATACTCTGTATCGGCCCAAGCTTTCTGGGTCCATGCTACCTCTCCAATAAAAAAAGCAAAAATGCTAGGAGCAACTAGGTGCGACCTGTTTAATGCCAAACTCATAGCACAGGCAAACCTACTTATTGGTGGAAAAGCTGAGCCACTATAAGAACATATTTGTGAAAGCCTTTTCCAAGCAATTTGGGCATGGTTTGTCATAGTCTTACTTGCTGAGATGATAGGGAAGCTCTTATAATAACTACTCTTGTATAAATTTTCCTTTGCCTTGTGCAATGTAAGTTGAGAACATCCACTGCCAGAAAATTTATACTGTGAGTATAATCTGCATAGAGAGGAAGGTAGTCCAACTGTAACAAGTGTCCCATGCTTCTTTGCTTCTGAATAACTGGCCCTCTGGTTTGTGAGAATGAGGTGTGAAACTCTCCTAATGTTTCCAAATGCAAAAAACCTGCATTTTCAACAACAGCATCACATTTCCCATGCAGGTCTAAGCAAAACAGAACTAACCATGAACTAAAATTGAACCACATAAGCAAGACAGTGTAAAAGAATATGTCAATTCTTTGAAGCAATCAAATATGTCAGAAATAATGGGCATTTGGAAAACACATGGAAGTGAACCATTTGATTGTAGCTTCCTTGGGCATCCAGCATAAGGCTTTGCCAAGTTAGTAAGCCGTAGTTTGATTAAAATTTGAATATATAGGTGCACTATGCAACATGTGTTCATTTTTTTTGAAAAGTAAAAATGAAATTTTATTGATAAAATTTACAAAACTGATAACAACCCAAACAGGGGTATTAAGATAACACCCAATCCAACTACCACAACAGAAGGATTAGAAAGACACAAAACAAGCAAAAAGAAAAATAGAAACCCCCCCAGTCAAAAAGTAGCTAGTCATCAGCTTCAAACATCTCGTCATATCTGTCATCGCCCTCGTCCCAAACTTGTTCTTCTTTCCTTAACAAGTTCTACATTCTCTATTCCCTTTACTCTTTTCAAATACTTCAAGAACTCTTCTAGCGAACTCCTCACCTCCCCAAAAAAAAAGCCCTAAAATCTTGCCGATTCTAACCTCCCTGTCAACCAGGTTCTTAATCTCTACTTTATTCCCCTCCTTTTTCCAGCTTGTTGAGACAAAGTGAGACTACTCCCACCAGCTTGACCTCCCTCCTTATCCCCTGACCCTAGCCTAATCTCCAGACCTTCCTCTGTCGAGGTCGACGTTATCTCCCCTACTACAGCTTGAAGCGTCTGCCCCCCTCCTTTCAACACCCTTCTTCTTCGATTATATAACTTTTAATATCTTCCACCTGTAGAATTTCTTATGTTTATTGGAAGGACCTGCCCCAATCAATCCATCTTTTAGCCTTGAAAAACCTTTGGCACATGGACAAAATGAAACTTGCTTGTCTTTCTGGCTTTCTTCACCCCTTCTAGAGGCTCAACATCTCCCTCCTTGTTCACACTTCTTCTCCAACCTAGATGGACTCCAATCCCACCAACTGAAACTTCAAGCATTTGGAAATCCTCTCACTCTATTGGTGAGTCAGTTTTTCCGTCCTTGTCCAAAATAGAACATTATTTTGGACATTATTCATTATTCATTGTGTTCACCACCAGAGTCTTAATAAAATAGAACATTATTCATTATTGACAGTACTCTAAAAGGCATTCAGATCGCAAGAAGAGGTAATATGCCTTGGGTAAGAAAGTATAAGAATGCCTTAACATATATGCTTTGACACTAAGACATGAGGCTTATGCCTCACTTGGCCAAGGTGTATGCCTATTGCCTCAACATATCATGTGTAGCATAGTTGAAACTTATGCTTCATGGTCAAACAGTAATGTTTAACAAATTTATCTACATTTGGTCCTTTTTTAAATCTTCTGAAACTAAGAACATATGGGGCTTACTGTCATATGTTAGTTTACACACAGATGTGTGTATATATTTTATAAAAAAGCAACATCTTTTTCCCCTCATTTGTTTTTTGCTCCTCAAACCCAACTTATTAATTCCCCATCCTTGTTCTTCACAAAACTCCCTTGATTCCTCAAGCAACAAATATCTACCATTCGCCATAATCACATTTTAGCTTGAACTTTTTGCAATGTTTGTCTTGCTTCAAAACTAAGACATGCCCATTACTAATCCTAGTAAAACCAATTATACCAAAAACAATTCCAAGATAGACCCAAAAAATATAGGGAAAAACCTCAAATCCCAGCACAAAGTAATACCCTACCGTAAAATGGTCATAACTCTCTCAAAACACATTAAATTTATAGACAGCTGAACTTGTTGGATAGGTGACTGGTGACTGAAGGGGTGGACTCAATACAGACCTAATAATAATTTGTAATCAATTACGGTTGCCTGAAGGTGAATTGCCTAAAAACTTCTAATCTTCTACATTATCCCCGTTTGTGAAATAATGCTACATTCCATCTTGAATCCCTCGTATCCAATAGAAGTCAAGAAAGAAAAAAAAAAAAAAAAAAAAAGATACTAGCGCAATATGAAACTTCCATACCTAAAAGTATTCAACCCAATGCACGAACAAGTATTGTAAAACATGCATGCACGCTATCAGAAACAGAATAATGATTGGCGTACAAGCTTTTTTTTCCTATAAGTTCTTACAAATATATCAGAACAAGCTAAAAAGTTTGAACATTTTCACAAACTAAACGCGAGAAAAACGCTCTGGTTTTGTTAAAGCCCTAAGGTATACATGTCAAAGTGCTACACTGGAGACAGAATTGGAACCGAACACGTCTAAGAAGATTTTTTTTTTTTGATAAATAACACGTCTAAGAAGATTATGCCTCCAAATCTCATAACTTCACCCGGGGGAGGGGGCAGGCAGGAAAATTACAACCCCACTGGACAAACAAAAGAGAAACAAATAATACGAGCAAAGAGAAGCTCTTTTCAGCTGCAGCTACCAACCTTGACATGGTGATTGTTGTCGCAGCTAGGTGTTCCGACTAAAATACCTAGGCGAAGAGTTTTTCCCGCCGGCATTTTCTCCCGTTCGCGCAGAAGATCATCTTTATCTCCTCATCCCGTCCCACCGTCGTCTTTGTTCATCGTCATCATTCGATGTGACATGGCTTATATTGGGGTTTCAGAGGCAGCGAGCGTCGGAGACCTAAAGGTGACCCAGCAGGAGAGGGAGAATGAGGAAGAGAAAGGTATTTTGAATGCGATGAATTTATATAGGAACGGTCCACCGACCCCTTGGCGAGTTCTTGGCCTGTTGGCCCTCGTTGCCTCCTCGTCCTTGAAATTTACCTTGGCTTGGTGCCTTGGTCCGACTGTGACAGACTTGAGAGTTGAGGCTTCCCTCGTGTCTGATTGTGAGACACAGACATCCTGTCCTGTGCGGTTGGGTAATGGGTCTGGGTGAAGCCTGAAGGCTTCCAACGTCCGTCCCCAACCCCAACCCAACCTATTCAAAGGACGAGGTTGGTACGGGAGCATACTGGACCAATCATTGTACACCACGTCAGCTTAACGTGTGGGATCCATCATCCATGTATTTAGAACTGATGTGGCATGTCATGATTGGACAAATATAACCGTAGATGATTCAAATTCAAATTCATACCAACGTCTCAAGTCGGGTTCGCAACCATGTTGGGGTCCATTCAAAATTTAACAAATTCCCAACCGAAAGCTGCACGCCTGCACCCACTTTCATTTTGTAAAGAATTGAAAGCTTGCCCATTTTAAATTCCAAGCGATGATGGTACGTGAACATGGGTTGGCTTGGTTCCTTGGGTTGGGTCAATTAGGGCTTGGCAGCAGGCCACCAACCCTAAACTTTTAGGCTGTGTTTGGAAACTATGCAACAATGCAAATATGTAGAGTGTAAAATGGTTCGTATAAATTGTAAAATTGGATTAGTTTTGTACAATTGCACTAACAAATTTATCTTTTTACCAAACATACTTCTAGTTGTGTTTTCACCATAGACTCTTGGTAGTTGGTCAATTCTCCAAAGGTCCAGAGATGACAACGGGAAAGAGAGAGAGGATGTGGGGAAGAAGGAGGAAGAGAAGAGAGGAGAGAAATGAGTTGCTTCTCTCTCATAAACCCTAGGTCAGAGTTATATTGTGTTGTCTCCTAGAGAAGAATTGCTCTTCCCCTTTTATAGAGAGAGTTAAGGCTATCAACGAAAGAATTATTTCCTGTTAGGAAAGAGGGTCTCTCCTATTAGGAAAGGAGATTTTATTAAGGGATCAATATTAGAAAATCCTATTACTTCCAGATTCTCTCTGTATGTGACCCTATTATACTGACGTGGCGTGGGTGACGTCATCGTTTGGCGGGTATACCTTCATTAAACCTGCATGCGTAATTTAAAAACACACGTGTAACCGGCATTTATTCCCGACCTATTGTGATTCTACAGTTCTGTAATAGTGTCAGGTTCATCGCAACTCTGCACATGTTCGGGGTTCATCACAAATCCGTGCATGTCTGGGTTTCATCGCAACTTTACGCGTGTTCGAGGTTCATTGCAAATCCACACGTGTTCGGGGTTCATCGTAAACCCGCGTATGTTTTAGCTTTATTGCAGATTTGCACTAGTCAAAGTTTATTGCGACCTGTCCCAGGTATGAATTCATTGTAATCGCAAATCTACGATGAACTCATCACAAACGTGCAATGGATTATAGATTCATCGTAGGCATTCATGTAACGTTGGTTTGACACCCTCTGTGCTCTGATGGTCTTAACAACCACTATGTACCTATAAGTTGTAATGAATGCAAACATGAATTCCAATAAAGATTATGATTTTTTTTTATCAAAAACCCACTTGAATGCAAATTTACTTTTTTACTAATGTACTTTTATATCTTATTATCAATGTAAATATGTATTGATTTGTCATTTGTCAATGCATAAATGTAATGTTGTCAAACACAGGCAAAAGAGAACTTAACGCAAATTTACCTAGAACTGGGATTTACACTCCATTTGCATTGTTTCCAAACATAACCTTAGGTCACCTTTTTATGGCTACAATGGGCATGAGGTCACCTTTTTTATTTCTTGCCTTCAAATTTCCTATGTTTTCTAAGAAATGCTATAACCTTTCCTATAAATTTTGCAAATCTTTTTCTGACATTTTAAAAAATTAAACAAACAGACCCCTTCCTTTCGTATACTTAGTTTGATCTCTGCAAATTTTTTCTGATATTTAAAAAAAATTATACAAACAGACCCTTCCATTAGTTTGATGTCAACTCAATGACCTTAGAACCAAGCCAAAAATATTGGAGGCTGCACCCATTGATCAAAATAGCTCCTATAAAAGTCTATTTTGAGGTGATCATGCTTTTAAATACTTATAAATTTTTTATGGATGACATTATTGACCGGATACCCAAAAAGGTTCTTTTGAGGTGGATGGACATTTTTCGGGGCATTAATTTCAGTCAATAGAACACTCAAATATCACCATCCTTAGGCAAATTAGACATTTTGAAGTTTTCAAACCCATGACATCATTATATCGGGTTATGTCTTTAACTTCAAAGAAGGGGTAGAAAATGGATGAATTCGGTTGGGTGAGGGTTGAATAAATAAATAAAAAAAAATATATATATATATAATAGAAAAAAATCAAAAAATATTTTTCAAATTAAAATAGAAATGCTCAAAAACACTGAAAATGATAAATAGATTTTATGTAAAACATAAAAAATTGTAAGAAAAAATAATTATAATTAAATAAAAGTATCATTTCACATAAAACATGAAATTGTAAAAAAATACAAAATTGCAGAAAAAATGTAAAAAAATTTACAAAAATGAAGAATTTTAAAAATATAAAAGTTGAAAATAGAAATTGCATAAAAATAAAAAAAATTGTAAAAATTATAGAAAAAACACAAAAGTTGTAAATAAATAACAAGAAATACAAGAAATGTATAAATTGCAAAAAAAGACACTAAAATGCAAAGAAAATACAAAAAACTGAAAAAAAATAAAAATTGCAGGAAAACAACAAAAGTTAGTCAAGCGAAAAAATTGCAAATAAATAACAAAAGTACAAGAAAACCAAGCATAAAAAATATAGGAAATTACAGAAATTGATAGATTTTTTTTTTTATTTTTTAATATAAGAAAACAAAAGATAGAAATGTAGGAAAATTTTTTTGATAGAAATTTTTATCAATTTTTTGAAATTGATAGAATTTTAAAACAAATGAAGGAAAATGTAAGAAATTTAAAGAAAACCAGAAAGAAAACAAGACTTTGTTTGAACAAAGTATTAGAAAGAAACCGAACAAAGTTAATTTTACCTACAAACTCTACCCTCTCTCCCTTTTCGACTGATGGGGAAATTGATGACAGATCTGTCATTATCCTATCTTCAATAGAGAAAGACGACGAACATAGGTCTGGTTCAAAACCAAATCTATTGCGAATTTAATGTTGAACTTGTCGTTCATCACTCTAATAGGGGAAAACCTTCCACTTTTCTGCCATGGCGAAAAGAGCAAAGAGAGATCTACCTGAACACAACCTCTGGAAGAAGAAGAAGAAGAAGAAATCGACGGTGGTTCTGCTCATCGGGTACTGAGAACAGTGGAGGTGAATACCGAACTTCAAAGTGTGACGATGGAAGATCTCCCATCGAGATTGGTGGAACAGATTCAATCGAGAGTTCAAGAATCCTAACCCTTTTCTCTAAATTCTGATCCTTCACCTTTTTTTCTTGAGTTCTGGCCCTTCCTTTACCCAATTGACCCCAACCCATTAACCCATTTTGACTCTAGTGGGTACCTTCGACCCAACCCATTTCAAAGTGATTGAAGTTGTGCACTTCAATGGAATAGGTGGGTTACAAATGGGTTGGGGTTAAGATTGCCAGCCCTACTTCAAAGTGATTGAAGTTATATGCATAATTTATGTGGAATGCCAAAAGGAGAAATTTAGAGATACAAAAAATTACAATGAAGGTTAAAGCATTTATGGGGAGGGTAAGAAATTTATCTTTGTTTATATATTTTCCTTCTTTTCAGATGGATCTCCAGTTGTTGATGGGGTCCTTTAATGCTAATGGAAAAGTATAATCTTTACATGTACTTTTATGACCAGCTTGGGAGGGATTAACTTTAGAGCCTTTTTGGTACAACTTCTATGGTGACTTGTGATGCCAAGCCCTGTAGTGGTTGAATACTTGTGTTCTAGATAAGATATCTAGAGTAGCTTCATATTATAGTTGCATTCCTCGCGTCTGGAACACAGTGCATGCTTCTCGATTTTCATCAAATATAAATTCTGACATTCCCGTGTGGGACCCAGTTTAGAATACTAGAAGTCTTGCCCTCCTCATTGCCCTCCCAAATGGACACTTAGGTTGCATTTGGCATTCCTTATTTTAAGAACTTATCTCCTTTTTGTAGTTAAAATTCCCACGTGAACATTTATTTTTTAACTACAAAAAGGAGACAAGTCCTTAAAACAAGGAATGCCAAATGCAGCCTTAGTTGGACTCTTATTGAAGAAGCTAATGGAAGAGTTTTGTACAATAAACAAAATTTGGCTCTCCAAACTTTTTTCCAAAAAGCCACCTCATGAAAACCCTTCAAACAAGGACTTGATTACAAAGAAGTCTCTTGTTGAGCCAAACAAGCACTTAATAGCCAAAAAGTCTCTTGTTGGTCATAGAAGTGGTATAGGTGGGTAGGGATGAAAATTTTCCTCATCCCCGATGGGTACCCAACTTCCCCGACCTGATGGGGTTAGGGATGGAGATTGCTTTGGTGTGGCAGGGATGGGGATGGGGATTAATAGGGATCCCCACCCGGGATTGGGTTGAGAATGGGGAATGAGGTTCCCGCCCCAACCCCGATTATATATATTAAATATATATTATTATATATATATTATATTATTTATATTATATATATCAAAATATATTTAAAGTATTATTTATATTTTAAAATTTTTATTTATGTTCAAAAAATACTATTAACTAAAACATTGGGGATTTGGGTCCCCTTGGGGAACCCATCCCCGTTAGGGATTGGGGATGGAGGACAACTTTTATCCCCAATGAAGATCGAGGTTAGAGATGGAGATTTATTCCAAAATCATGGTTGGGGATGGGGAATATAATCCTTGCTCTGAACCCACCCCCGTTGCAATTCCTATAGGTGAGGGAAGAGAGTACAGGGCTTATGTTAAAAGATATTGACCCAATAAAAAGGTAAAGAAATTTTGTGAATAATATGCTTAGGGGAAAGGTTTGTTAATTAGGTCATTTGGGCTTAAACAACCCAAGAATATTCGATGTGGCAAAAATAGTTTTAAATTTATAATGAGTCCTCCATATTCCTCTCCTTGCTTTAAATCCATTT